AACACTCATAAATCTACTCCCTAACAAGCAGAATTATATCAGAGCGTTTGATGCGGCTAACACAAGAAATGAAAAATTGGATAAAAATATAGAAAAGGCAGCATAACTCAATGAGATGTTTTTTGCACCACCAAGTTCTGTTTTCCTCCTATTTCTCCTCACTGCATTTCCTTTCTTTGTCCTTTCCTTTTGATCACCCTTTTTCGTGGGCCCCTTTGGAATTCCTATCTCCATGGCTTCTTCTAAGAAATGGGCATTCTTCATATCTACCATTGCTTCCTTCATGTATTTCTTTGTCATAATCTTCCAAATTCCGCTTTTCAGGTATATTTTCTCATTTCTTAATCTAAATTGCCTTTCTAAGTTTCAATGTCATTGATGGATCCAAGCATCACATGCTTCTGGGATTATCTTTTTCTATTTAACAGCATATTCCTTCTCTAACTGTTTTCCCCCCTCTCCTTTATGTTACTCTTTTCCATTGTTATGTTAATACATTGATTCCTCTTTTCCTTAATTATATTGTTTCAAAATTAAAACAAGATTATGTTAATGCGTAGTGGTAAGGTAAATGTCATAGAATTTAAGATTTTAAATACGAGTTTTGTTATGTGTAGGTTTAGTTTAATTTTATATTGATTTCTCATAGTTCGTAATTTTGTTTAATGATTAGTTTGTGTTGTGAGTCTACAATATCTTGATTGATTGATATGTGTTAGGTGTCAATGTGTCATAAAAAATTTTTGAACAGCTTGAGAAAGAATGCATATATTGAAGAAAACTGAGAAATGAAAACATGCCAAAAATGCATGTAGGTATTGTTCATTTCCTTTTCCTTGCCTTGCAGGGTACCTTGTAGAAGTGGAATATGCACATCCCCAATTGAGGTGACATCCTCTCAATTAATTGCTACTGAAGTCTATCCTGCATTTATTGTCAAGGCCCTTCTTTATCCAGGGGCCATTGCAAATGCAATCATCAATAAAAAGACCATCCCAAGCTATAGGAGATTGCTCAACTTTTATAACTTCACCTATGTGAAGAAAGCTCATGCAACAGCCGATCTCCAGCGCCTAGAGGTCTGTAAAATTTGCACCATGCTTGAATTGGAAAGGAATTCGGGGTTTTGATATCTTGAATTCCTCTGATTTATAATCTCATTTTGGGTTTTAAAATTGACTGGACCAGGTTCTTGTAGGAAGCTACCTGTCAATTGCAGGGGCGTTTTTTGGACTCATCAGGCCAGCAAGAGTGAGCCTGTTTGGGACACTACTCCTGATATGGGGTCTTCTCAAAGAAATGTTTTCTTCAAGAAATTACGCCAATGGCATAATTCCGAGAAGAGCTGTTTATATCAATCCAACAATGTTACTAGCTGTGGTTTGTGCTTTCTTGTCTATAAGAAAGGATGTAAGAAAACTAATCCATTCTTGTAAAGCTAAGCGAGTTAGAAAAACCCTAACAATCAAAACAAAAACTCATCTAAATTAAGATAAAACCTCATAATAGTTATATGATATTAAATAAATAGATATATATATATATATATATATGAAATTATAAGAATTGTATTAAGTGACAAAAGTCAATTATAATTACTATTACATAAGATTTTGAGGTTTTGTGAGATAAGATTGTGTACCATACTTCAAATTACTTATATATACTATAGCAAAATGTTAGGAGAGAAATTAGGCAAATCCCTTATTTTGTCAGAAAAGGAAGAGGAACAAAACAATTTTATATGAAATGAGATGCAAACTCTAGTGCTTTGGCTTTCCTTTCTTTGAAGAAAGATTCTGGATGAAAACCTCATTCACATTTATCACTCGTGGCTGCATAGAACGTTGGCTTGCTAACTAGATTTCTAGCAAGTGCTTTTCGTTTTGGCAGTATTGAGCATGCGAAACACCACACTGCACACACATGATAAGACCCATGTCACCCTGTTCTTTTTCTAATTCATTTGCAGCATATCATGTTCGCGAGGAAATATATGTCCATCTTTACAATTTTTGGATCATATATAGTCAGTGGTGTCATGTCTGGTTCTCTAACATCAAGAGTAAAATCTGAGGCAACCTGACCTCAAAAATTAGCCAAGGTGGTTGAGCTTTCAGTTTCAAATAATTAAAAAGAAGAATTGCATGCTCCTCTAACTTTTATTCTTGTCCATACCAATTCATACTTTTGAAAATAAATAATGTAATATATTAAAGATGTATTGTTTTACAACTCAAATTATTCTAAACTGTAAAATAGAGATTCTTTGATGAGAGAGGGTTTTCAATATGAGAAGACTCTCTTTTCATCAAAAGATTAATGTTTTACAATTTAAAATAATTCAACTCGTAAAAACACTTTTTTTGATATATTAAATTCAATATAATTTTCTCTTCAATTCACCCCATCAAATAATGGAGGATGTTGGATATGATCAGATCTATGTATTCTTATTGAGCTTCAAACTTTTTATCTCAATTTACATACCATTATATCATTAATGATAGTTATAAGCTAAACGAAATTAATATATAGTTGCATCAAATTAAAATCATTACTCTAGACTTTTTAAGCCTATGACTACCATGACCTTTTGCTTAATCACTAAACTAATACTTTAGAATTAAAATCAAAACAAAGCTTTAGTTCAATGATTAAGGAAGAGGCTTTGAGACCTTTAAATTTTAAGTTCGAGTTTGGTTGAGTTCATAGAAAATAAATCAAAATCAGTATGAGCCTATGAAAGTAAAGGTTTCACTGTCTTTGGCCATCAATGTCTAACACTTTAATTTGCAATGGCAAAAAGAAAAAGAAAAAATTATGAGGTAAAGTAGCACATGGGGGCAACGAGACATTTTTGAGCAGAAAACGGGCCGCCAAAGTTCCCAGTTCCCCAAGTTGCACATTCTACAATAGTTAATAGACAACTTAGATTTTTTTGTATTGTTCCATTAGTTTGTTCTTTTGTTTGTGCTTCACTGGTTCCATTCAGCCATTGTTTTAACCGGAGTTAGTTTTACAATATGAAACAGAGACAGTGATGCGAATCACGCAAAGTTCAAAGCTTGCTTCCCACTTGCAGTGACTGCTATCCCCTCTGGGAACTATTGGTCCAGAGAGATAATCCTCAGAGCTTGGGGAGGTTTTGTGGCTTCATTTGCTCTTATAATTTCACTTTCCATTTCTTTATTTGGATCTCCATGTTGGGTTCTTACTGTTTTTTGTTTGAATTCTAGAGAGTGCTTTCTGGGATTTGGAATTGGGGTTTGTTTTTGTTTTCTTGCATATTGAGCAATTATCCACACCCATTAAGTTTCTGTGCTGTATCAGGTTACTTTGGAGGTGGGTTTTGTTTGAAGTTTATAATTTGGAAACCCACATAAAAATCTGGAGTTTTGAGGACTAGAACTAGATAAATTTTGGGTTTGTGAAGTGGTTGTTGATTGTGGAGGATAGAAATTGAAAGTGGAGATAAAGTATAAATGTTCTCATGAGTATTTTTCAGTATAGTCAATTTTGAAAGCTGGGTTTGGTTGCTGAAGCTAGAAGTTGAGGGAAGTTGCCGCATCTTCAGGTTATGTAAGAATCTTTTGCACAAACCATTTGCTATTCAGAGGAGGATTTTGTTGCAACGGGCTGATATATGAATTCAAATACATGTTAAGAGGCTTGGAGATTAGAGTCTTCCACTGAGACTGTTAACTTCGATTGGAACATTTAGTGTCAGAGATGTTTGATGGAAGCTTGACAATGTCTTTGCAGATGCTAAATTACCCATCTCACCGGCTAGGCTACATAAACATGTACAGGAATCATAATAAGTCAAGGTTTAGTCCAATTCTGGCTATGTCCTCTTCATCAATTCTCTTTAACACTGATGAAAGCGATAAATTTTCTGAATCCAAGGGCAGATCTGGTTCAAGTGTAGCTTTGCTAAGCAACTCTGCTGGCTCCTTGCTTAGTCAACCAAATACCGTGGGTATAATTGGAGGTGTATCAGTTGATTCTACACTAAGTTTCTTGCAAAAACTAGTTCTGGGAAGTTCAAATGATGAAGAGAATCACTTGCCTTTTGTTCTTTGCTCTGATCCAATGTTGAACAGAGAGCTTTTATCCCTAGAAAGGAATTCTTCTCCTTCTCTGTGCAGTGCAAATAAGCATTCACAATTTGATCATAACCAGATTGTGGAGAATTTAAGAAGTAAAAGGATTTTCCTTGAGAAATCCGGAGCTCGTTGCATTGTAATGCCTTGTCATATTTCACATTCATGGCATGAAGAAGTATTTAAGGGATGTTCTGTTTCATCCCTTCATATGGGTGAATGTGTTGCCAGGGAGCTCAAGGAAGCCAATTTGAAGCCACTGGAAGCTGGAAGTCTTTTGCGCATTGGGGTCCTTACTACAAATGCTACTTTAATGGCTGGTTTTTACCAGGACAAACTAAAGAATGAGGTAATCTCCATTATGTAACTCTATATGTCTCTTTCCTTTTCAGATTTCTTTTGACACAATCTGAGCCCTGCGTCACAATCATTCTAGTTAATTCATGCTTTTGAAAAGTATTGTTTCTTTCCAGAAATTTATGTGCTTCCTCTTTAGAATATGATGTTGGGAATATATGAGAAAAGGAAGGGACTTGGAGAAGGAAGAGAGAGCCACCCGGAGTTCCCTCTTCCTTCTCCAAGTCGCTTCCTTGTCTCATAAATTCCCAACATATGGCATTCTCAGAAACTTGTTTACATACTAGGAATTGGGTATCTTTAGTAACCAAACATTAAAATTGTGATATATATTTAGTTGGCAAAGAAGATATTTTGCTAAAAATAAAGACATGGAGGAATAAGATATATCTTATGAATGCTGTTTGATCTCATGGCACTGAGTGGATCATTTTACCTTTAGAGTCAAAGCATATCCATGGCTCAGAATGCCTACTCAAGAATTCTTGAAAATATAGACTAATCAATATCATTTTATCTTGATTAATGACAGATGATAATAGCACTCCTAGCAGGCTTCACAAAAAAACCAGCTTCCTCACTTTTAAAGTGGTTCACTGGGCTGCCTTAGCCTGAAGCACGAATATAAATCCTTTTTTTTTCTTTTTTTTTTTCTTTTTTTGGCCTTTAGGTATATAATATGAAACACTTAGGTCTGCAATTTTCAAAGGAAATATGTGGAATTATACTGAAGTGGAAATATCAAAATGTTGCCTCATAGTTGCCTATTTTTCTTTTGACATGTTAAGCTGTGTTAAATAATTCAAATTTTGGATACCTTTTACATCTTTTTAAACAAATATGCAATTTTTTTTATGACTAATACTCAAATTACATAAACAACACTACTGGAAACTGAGACAGAGGAAGCCTCTGAAATCCAGCAAATGTAAAAGCACCCCAACCTACTACTCAGAGGCTACCTGAAGCAGGAAGCCAATACAAAAACGGATTCACATTAAAAAAGACATACCTTTTTCTGTTTGTCTCAATGCTTTGGATGAAAAATTTTGGAGCTCATATGTTCATACTTTTTTAAGCAACATATACTGGAATTGCACACTTCCAGACGATCTTGACATTTGGGTCCTAAATCAAGTGTTTAAATCACTAATTTTTGACCCCCCCCCCCCCCCTTGATAAAAAGCTTGCTATGTTGGGAACAAACGCTCTGAGTTCCCAGATTTTGGAAGCATTTACTCCTGAATTTTAAGATTAGCTTTCTACTTTGCTGAAATGTTATTCTTTTCCTTTACCAAAAAAGCAAAAAAAAGAAAAAAAAGAAAAAAAAATGTTATTCGTTTCTGTCTCTCCATTGTCTTTGATTTTCCTTTAACTTGGTTCTTTTTATTATGAGCTAAGGTTCTGCTCTCTTCTGGAAAGTGTTAACCAAAAGGGCATTCTTTTTGGTATAGTTTTTTTTTTAACAGAAAAAGTAATATTTATTGAAAAAAGAAGTATAAGGGGTACCTCAAACCCTTAAACATCCCAACTTAAAAGCCATAGATTACATAGTTGAATATCCCTGCCGCTTGGTGTCGACACCAAGTTCTTTTTGGTATAGTAATGTCTGCCCCTCATCATCTTATTAAAATCCATATTTATCCCTTTACAGGGAAACAAATTGAAGCTATAAAAGTGTAGAAGATGTTTTATGACAGAAAATGATTCAATGTTATAGTTTAGTCATGAATGTTCATCATATTGATTTTAACACCATTTTGGTGGACGTTAACAGTTGTCCATTACTGGAAAGTTGCAGGGTTTTGAGGTTGTGCTGCCGGATAAGGCAACCATGGAACATACTGTAATTCCTGCAATTGATGCTTTAAAGAGAAAGGACATGGAAGGAGCACGGACTCTGCTAAGAATTGCACTTCAGGTTCTTCTGGTGAGGGCTGTTAACACTGTTGTTCTTGCATCTGATGACATGCGTGATCTTTTGCCTCCAGACGATCCTCTTCTTAAAAAGTGCTTGGATCCAATGGATGCATTGGCTAGGGCAACTATCAAGTGGGCGCAAGCTGGTGGACAAGTTACATAAGGATTATGAATGAATATGCAGTTATGTTAATTATCTATGCTTTATAGTTTTTGTTTTTAATTTGTTTACTGGTGTCCAAATCATTCCTGTAGAATATATATGGCTGAAGAGTGGATGCAATATTGTTGTGTATTTTTTCCTCGACCAAAAGGGTACAAGAAAAGATCCAAGGGCTTGTTTGATTGGGAAAGTGATTGGAAATGGCCAAACCCTGAAGTCCTTGCCGGTTTTTGACCATTTTGGTATCTTGGTAAAGTGAGGAAACTTGGAAGTAGTTTTCAGCCTAACCCTGGAAATTCCTTCCGGGCTATGCATCATGCATTTTCACATTTCCAGAGAAGTCAGCCTGTTCTAATAAACATGCATCAAGAGGAAAACCAATAATAACGTAACCGTAAATTCGACCCCTAATGCTATCACATTCATCTACAAGTGACAAGCCCCTAACCAATACAGTGATCAATGAGCTCATTTTTGTTAAAGTAGGCTTACGGTATAATAAGCAGGACTTGAATGTGGATTCAGGCAGATTATCGTAACTGAACTTCGAAACATCATACATCTCTTTGTCCAATCCAATGCCTGTAAAAGTAGAACCACCTGCCGATTCTCTCAAAACTCCAACTGCATGTTCCCATTCTTCAGGTTTCTTCTCGGAAGATCGTCCCATTGTAATAAGAGCAAGAGGCAAACCGCACTCTTCAACCACTCTCTCTGCTAGTCTAGTAATATTTGGATGATCACCCAGAGTTTCTTCACCAACCACTCCCTGAAACCGTTCCCTTGATTCTTCTGGTTTTAAACAATTCTCTTTAATATCCTTCTGAGCCTTCGTTTTGCGATACACATCAAAGAAACAAGCAGTGAACACTAACTTGCAACCATTTCCTTGATGAACCTCCCTTTTCACATCATCCCTCATCTCGCCTAATTTTCCAAACACAACCTCCAAAGCCTGAAGGTTCTGTTCAAGCTCTCAACTATACTTTGCTTGTGTTGCACCAAAAAGTATACTTTGCTTGTCTGTCCAGCTAGGCAAGCCCAGCACCCCGAGGATGTTTGCTCCCCTGAGCCTGTGATTTGGATTGGGGCTAAATCACCCATGATTTAGTTGAAGTGGACTTCAGAAATGGCTGAATGGAGGGAATGAAAGCATGATTTAGTTTTTCTCTTCTTTATTTTTTCCTTCTTTTTTTAACTGTTAATTTTTTTGAGACTTCACATTCAATTTTAATAAACTTGGGGGTTAAGTGTACATTTTCTAAACCAAAAGGGGTCAATTATTGAACTTGAATAAGCATTTTTTTTAATAAAAAATGAAACAAAATCGCCAACATAATCTATCTGCCCAAAAATCTCATTGCACAGCAATACTACATATATTTTCTATTTATTAAATATGGTATAAAACCCAATGGAGGAATCGGATTCAGAAGCAAATATACTGAAACATCTAGTGGAGATACTTTATTCCGGGAAATGATGGGAGAATTGCAAGGAGCGGATCACCATATCCTACAGGATCTGTTGAATTGGGAAAACTGATTAAGAATGTATGACCAGATGAAATACATCCAATAGCTAGCTAATGATGAAAATTGAGTATTATACTTACCACCATCCTCCCTCAGTATTTTAATGACCTCCCCAGCTATGTCAGACTGAAGTAAATGAGACATATGAATCAGTTTGTTAATTATACAGAAATAAATTAAAGAACACAAGTAGCAGAACTTGCAGTGTACAAAAAGATAAGATGAAACAGGTGGACAAGAATCATAAAATTGACCCTAGCTTCTGACTTCAACAGATAAACAAAGAAATAAATCACATAATGTCAAGATTCAAACCCGGACTGGAATTTGGGCAGCAAACTGTTCAATAAAGCAAAGCACTTGCCCCTCCTTCACTATCTTCTTCTGTTGGAAATAATGGGAATGTTATTAGTAGAGGACACTCTTCAATGAGGAAATTGTTATAAAATATCCTGACAGAGAACTCACTCATATACTGAAACAGAATGATGATCCAAAGAACAAGAGGAACAATGAGAAAGACCAGAAGTGGCTTATGAATCAACTAAAGCCTTACCAAAAAGAGTAAAATTCAAACAAAAATGACAAACCCATTGTATAAAACTCTTAACATGGGGAAACTCTTAGGATGCAGTGAATTAATCAATTAGTGCATGTCACTTTAAGATCAAAAGAAGACGATAATAATAATAATAATAATAATAATAATAATAATAATAATAATAATAATAAGGAAATAGATCCACTGGGACAAAGAACAAAAACTTCTAGAATGGGAGCTGGTACTTTGCAATAGCTTCAAGACAAAACAGTAAAATAAATCCAAAAGAAGAAATAATTTTGCTTCAAATGGGAGATTGAATATTTTCCTTGTCATTGCTATACCAAAGAATAAACATAGTTGCATAAAAATTTCTCACAAAGTAATACCTCCTGACATGCAGGTGGGAAACGTGTCCCTTTTCTGGTTAGACATCTTCTGAAAGTCCCTACCTGCACCATGTACCATCTCAGTGCCCTGAGTTCATAGAACTTTAGAAAAAATTTAAACCTCAAGGTGCACACCTTTGGCGACTTAAGTATCACCAAGCCTTCATCTGCAGCTTTATCAAGTAATGAAACCTGAACAACCCCTGAGGAAGATGGTGCTTTGGTGATAGCTAAAGAAGGTGCAGAAACTGAGCCGTTTGAAACAGTTGTCTCGACAGTTGTATTTTCACCAGTGGTAGAAGGACTTGTGGAGACAGGTGGAGACTCAGTTTTCCCAGCTAAGTCCCGCATTAAGTATAGCTGAAATCCACCAAGCTAACAAAAAGGAGATATAGAGCAGAAAGAGTAAAAAATTTGGAGCATGTAAAACATCCTCAATCCTTTTGTAAATATAATAAAGCTAATACAAATTGAAATGTCATCCCAGTTAGGAGCTAATTGGCCATTCAGTGGGTTTAAAAAACACTTACTTTCAGTTCAAACTCTGCAACTGAAGTTGTTTTGCATACTTCCTTGACCAAAAATTTCACCTGTAGATGAAATTTAAGCAACATATATACTTTAAAACTTCTTAAAAATAAATTTAGTATGTTTCTTCTATCAAACATTGAATAGGAAGATGCCTCTGTGTGCATGCATGCCTGAGGCATTTTCACAACACTACATGTTTATCTCAGAATGTCACCAGAAACAGCAAATTGTTTATCTCAAGATTGTTTGGTCCTGAGAATAAGGTACAATTTAAATCTGAAAAATGATGAAAACATGAATGACCAAAGTGTATCAAATTTTTTAGATGATCAGGTGCATTCTCAATGAGACACTATCTTCTTCTATCTTCTTTTTGACAAGAAAATTGATGAAGGAAAGAAAGAATAAAGATACAGATGAAGTACAATAAATTGCTCTATCTGGCTAACCAGATTATTCAATTTTTATATCAATCAAAGAAATCAGTCGTTCAAATTTCTATCATTTTTCATATCTGCTGTTTATAAAATGAATTCACAAATTGACCAGGAAACTTCAGAGACACAGTTGAGAATACTATAAAATGGAAAAACCAAATAATAATAATAATAATAATAATAACACCCTCAGTTGCACCTGCAACCACCCAGAAGCAACAACATAATCACCTCAGATAAATTTGGGATGAGCGGACTAGTCAAGCCAGGGGATATAGTCTCTTCTGAATCATCCACTAAATCTGTGGCAACTGCAAGTCATCAACTAAGAGCATGTCATATAAACCATGCATCGATTAGAAATTGTTAAAAAAACTTCTTCTAGTCATCAATCACAAGAAAATAATATATTCTGATTGGTTAAAATGGAATATTCTTAGAAAGGGTACATCAAATCTTATAACAACAAGGAGCAAGAAAAAGCTGCCAGACATATCCATTCACTGGTTTTAAGTTTCTGCACCATTTCCCTTACAAGCTTACTACAAAGTACTCTAGGATAACCTAGCGAGATAAAGCAGCTGTTGCATATACACAAACTTGAACATGATACCATCTCTAGGCATGTTTGGTCTATCTCAAAATTAATGAGGTTGAAATGATAAGGTATAAGATCAGTATAATAGGGGGTGATAACAATTGGAAAGCTAGAAAAAACCTGATATCGAGAGACTTTGTTTGACTTATCCAAAAGAACTTTCTCAAGTTTGGGAGGTAAATTGATGGTAACTTTACATAATTATTCATTAAAAGACATGTTATTAAAAAAAAATTCATTAGAAGACAATTTCTCAGACAAAACAAGATTTTTTAGTTAGAAGGGAGTATCCCCACATCTCTTTTTCCTTTTATTTCCAAACTCCCTACATACTGGCAGCAGGTGAGAAGCTTCTGACTCTATATCTTAAGAGTTAGTATGAATCCAAACAACAGAGTACACTAAACCCTCATCTTTATATCAATGTTTTACTACACAATCCCTAAAGTGGACTATGCCAGGTGTTTTCAGAAACATACATAAGCAGTAAGTGAACTTGATTTTATTCTCCCAAACTGAACAGATTTTAAGCAAAAAGTACTTACTCTGAACTTCCAAGGATGAACTGCAACTAAAAGGGGTTAACTTCTCTAACTGCTGTGATATGATCAATCCAGCATATCTTGGTGGTCTCTGACTAATCAATGTTCTTGAATAATTTGGTTTCTGTAAGTTATCAACTCTTGGTTTCTGAAAATTCAATTTTAGTGTCTTAATATTTGATACTCCTAAGCTACCTGAAACAAAAACAAGCAACCACTGAGTAAAACATGTAAGCTAATTAGACAGCATTCCTAATTAATTATCCAATAGATATTTTAAGAAAAAAAATTTCAATGTTTCTAATGCAAAGAATGTAAGAATTTCATTCCAGAGTAAAATAGACTTCATGTTAGAAATTTCTAGAATTTGAGAATAGGCAACACACCTATTAAAAAACTATCTTCAACAACTATGGAAAGGACAAGGTATATAGAACTTAAGGGTAGGCAGTCTATTAATTCTTTAAATCTCTCCTTCAGTAATTAACATGCTCTCATGCTAGAACTAATAAAATTCTTTCTTAGACTATCATATTTTTGCATCCTTAAATCTGAAATGGATGACCTATCTATATATATGTATATATTTGAGCCTATCATAGATCACAATTAATCATTATGTATGTTAATGATACTCCAAAATTCTACAATTCTTAGCTATGCATGATTCATTAAGGATTTAATAAAATTATAATTCAACCCTAAGAAAGCAAGGCATAAAAAAATGACAACCTTGAAGATTAATGGCTACAATAGTATTAGTCTTCAAGAACTTCAACCAATTGCTGGTTTGCTCCTAGCATCAAATTAATTACTTGAAGATTGAACAAACTAAATAAGTATACACAACGTACCAAATCCTTAATCTTAATGCCCTCCTAATTCCGAATTACTGCACTAGAGGTTTATTAAATTTGGTACAAATGCCAATTAAAATATGTTCTGCATTTAGACTACAGCAATGAAGGAGAAAACACAGTTTCATCCGCAGATTTAAATGTCAGAATATCTTCAAAGCAGTAATTGACATTATAATTTATCTGTCAGTTAAATTGTGCATAAACACTATTCTACAGAAGGAACCTGAATTTCTCTACCTTAATGGGGTTCTGGAAAAACAGAGTGGAGAAACATTCAAACTAACAAGCATTCAGAACCCAGATGCTAAAACCAAAAATTTAAAAAGAAATGGCAAAAAGCTTTGAATTTGACAATGTAGAAATCAAAGACAAAGAAACACCCATTAGAAATTCACAAACTTGCACATTTCAAAAACATGCCAACAAATAATGCCAGTAGTCCCAGTGTCAATCTCCTAAAACAAATAGGAAGAAACCCCAATCTCTAAGCACAGACATGTCCAAAGTTGAAAACCCAATTGAAATCTCATTCTTCTAAAGCAAAAATAACGGAGAAAAGAGGGATAGAGAGTAGAAAGAGACTCACAGGAAGCCATGGTAAGCAATGAAACCCAGGAAAAGAAAGATAGATTGAATGAGAGAGACAAAGGGAAGGAGTGTAGCGAATGTAAAATTCTGGTTTTGAGACGTTAAATTCTATGTGAAAGGTTGCAGTGCAGCGGGCATTAGGGCAATAAACGCCAAATAAAAAGGGCAACAAACGCCATGGACAGCCGATACGATACAGGCTCAGTTTCTCCGGATAAAGACTGGTGCATAACATACAGCCGGACCTACGCCATTATCTGTTTTTTATTTATTATTTTTATTATTTATTATTATTTTTGTTGTGTTTGTTTATTTATTTATTTATTTTATTATTCTTCAAATTGGATATTACATTAAAATACAAGTCATGAGTTAAATTTACTCTCAAGTTTGATTATCAAAAAATAAAAAATAAAATAATCTTAGAATTAAGGGTTAAAACATAATTTAGATGAAGTATACAAGCTAACTAAAAATTATGATAAAATCAACTCCAATATAAAGAATTGAATTTATTAATAAATATCGATTTATAAATTATGATTGTTCAAGTTTTAAAATTTATAACTAGTATTTAAAAAAATTAATTAAAAATGTATTAAACCAATCTAAGAACATGAGAAATTATTATTATTATTATTATTATTATTATTATTTTATTTTGATTGCAAAATTAAATACAGTTATATCTCATCCCTTATTACACTCTACCCACATGGCACGCGATTAGAATTTAAAATTTTTTATTTTCAATGAAAAAAATGGCCACTAATTTATTTTAAATCATTGAGCATGAGGAATTAGTTTTAAAAGGCTTATTAACTGGCTAAACACTAACCATATCCAAAAAATGAAAACTAATATAACGGGCTCAGGATCGCTAGGTTCGTGAACCAAAATTTGAATAGGTGGCTAAAAGTTAAAGTCTGCTTTAAAATTGGACCCGGTCCGATGAACCTCTGAAACAGGTCACTAATATTATTTTTCAAATTTCAGAATTAATCCCTTCATCAATAGAATCTAGTAAGCTTTAACAACAAAGTCATCAAAAGCTCCTTTGCAGGACGAATCCAAAGGGGGCACAGTGCCCTGAAATCCAATAAATTTTTCAAAGGGCAAAAGAAAAAGGGGGCTGGGGGAAGATAACTTGATTTTATGAGAAAAACTCTTTAAGAAGTGGGATAATCTGTACAAATTTTATTTTCTAGCGTGCAAGTCTCCTATATATAGAACATGGGGAAATTTTAGCTTAAAAAAAATATATCAAATTGAGATTCATACCATATCATCATTCAACCAAACTTTATTACAAAATATATTTAACATGGTTAAATATATGTTGAAAAATATAACTTTTTGATTAAATGATTTTAAATTTTAGATCAATTTAAAAATTAACATATATGATTTACATAAATATCTAAGACACTTAAAAGATTATAGATATAGTGTACAAATATATAGATTATATGATTAAATGCTAATTTTTTAAAATATTTATTAGAGAATTAGAGGATGGAATTGAAACTCTATAAAGTTGGAATTGATATGCATTACATATATGCATTAATTGAGCAATATTATTATATATGAATTGATTTATAAATTCAAAATGTTTTGCTTTGATGGGATATATATGATTAAAAGGGTCTATACCTCTGATTGCATACAAAATAGGCTAGCATCTGGGCCCTATCTGGCATGTGTATATATTTATATATATCTCCTAAGTCCTAACCCATGCACCCACGACTTGATATCGACAGCATTAAGATATGTGAGATAACATAAAGCTTGCTTAAAAGGAAGACAAAAGCATTAACATTTATGAAGGTATAGTTGCTTTTTGAATCCACACTTATGTATGCTTTTTAAAGATACACAATAGGTCAATGAAGGGAATCCAATGTCATTTTTATGTTTTTAATTACGTCCTATTCTTTCTTAATTACTACGTAAGCTTTTGCATGTTAAAATTAAAAACAACTATATGTAGCATTAATTAACTTATACATAGTCAATCTTGATCATTTCATTGCTTAGGTTGTTGTCTCTGAAAATAAATCATGTATCGGTTTGTTTTTTAAAATATTAATTATTAATTAAATGGTTGATTTTACAATTGAGGTCCAATTTTTCTAATTGAGAGAAAATACTGATTTCCCCCCCCCCCCCTTTTTTTTTTTTCTATTTCAACTTGTAGTGCTTAATTAATTTGTAACATTTTCATTTAATATTGTAGTAGTTAATTATGTAACTCTAATATATTGAGATGTTGCAATATGATAAAAAGAAGATTAGGAGATGTTTCGTGTATTATATAAATCTTCAAAAGTACACGAAAATTCTAAAAAAATATTATGTAATGCTATGCATATATACCTATAGTATCTTAGATGGTGTTGCACTTCTAACTATTTTGATCGGAACAGCTTTTGCATTGAAACAACAAAATTAGGACATTGTGATCTTGGGTAACAAATGGTTTTCTAACCATTTTTGTATAATAATTTAGATGATACGGCTTCAAAATATTAACACTCTGAAATTACGTTAAAATAATAAAATTAAGATACCGTGACCTTAAATAACAAATAATTTTTTTAACCTTTATTATATAAAAATGTATTATGAACTTGATGCGGTTTCAAGACATTAACACTTTGAAATTGAAACAACTCATCACGAATTTAAATGATCTAATGATGAAAAAACTCCACACATGATGATATGGTAATATTTTTCTTATAAATTAGCATTAAAAAAAATATCTGTAAGAGAAAAAGGGTACTCAATCGATAAGGTTATTACTTTAGTCTTAATGATTTGTTTTGTGGAATCTTTTCACGGATATAGCAATGTACAATCTGAAAAAGAAAAGGATATATATAGAAGAAAGAAAAAGTAATAGAATGAAGTACATACAAATCATTTCTACTAATTTGAAAAAAGAGAAGAGAATCATCTTCTTTTAAGAAAAGCCAAAGCACCATACAATAAACAAAACGAAACTCTCTAAAGCAGAGAAGCATATTAATAATGGAAAACTCAGAAGTACGATAGTTCATTCCAAAACATCACAAACTACTACAATATTAATTAATCCTATAAATTTTATGGAGGAAAACCCTAACAAAATGCTGCTGAGGGAGACCGATCGATCATCATTTAGTGGTTTAATCCATATCTTGAATCATGCACCCTCTGAAAACCCTAGCTCCCTCCGACCAAATGCGATCAACAAAAAATAAAAATAAAAAAGCAGCGCACCCATGCATACATATTTTCTAGTATGAAGTTCTGCTGCTAAGATCTCTTGGAGCGCTGCATCTGAAACACTCCATTCTGCTTGCAAAATTGTGTTCATTACATCCCGACCTGCATCAGTGTTCATATTAAATTTTAGAGGAGAATTTGCAGTCTTTCTATACTCGTACTGCACAACACTTTTTTCGTACTAAATTCAGCGGGATTTATTTTTATAGCCAACTACCTGGTACATATCCAGTCACCGGATTTCCATCCAGAACGGTTGCTGCTGCCTGCAAGCCCCCTTGAGCGAGGGATGTCAGAGTCAAAGCCTCCGGCATCGTCTTTGAATGCACCGCACTTGAAGCAGCTAGAGCGGCTGGCAAAGTTGTGAGCACCACAGTTCCCAGCAGTGCAGTACCAATCGCCGGGGCGGACGTCAGACCCCGTACCAAACCCAAACGACGACCCTCCCCTCCCTCCAAATCCCCCAAAGTCACCTGACCTCGGGTCCCCGCAACGCTGGCATGAGTCCCTTCTTTGGAAGTTGAGGTGCTGGCATGACCTGCAGTTCCAATCACCTGGCCTACTCATGTTTTTTCACTGCATGCAGCATCAAAGAAAAAGCAATTCAAGACACATGACAAGCATAAATACAAAAATTAAATTTAAGAAATATATATAGAGAGAGAGAGAGAAAAATAAACAAACCCTAAGATGATGTGAAGAATTTTTTGCAATGATCAAGAAGTGAAGAAGAAGAAGGTTTTCCTGAAGGAAAGGGTGATGGGGGCTTCTATATATACATGTTTAGAGCTGGGAAAAAGAGGAATAAATGGAGGGCTGTGATATGTACTTTTTCGAGTTCTTGCAACCTTGATAAATGGACTCATTTTAAAGAAAATATAAAAGGAAAAAATGAAATCTAAAAAGGAAAGAAAAGAGATAAAGGAAAATTCCGCCTATGATTCCCAAAGACTGGAATTTTTGAAACTCGATCTGAATACGTGCTTTAATTTGGTTAGTATTTGTTTTGCTGTTCGCAGTTTATTCAAGAATTCAGGTTAATATAGATGGATATATACAATTGCCTCTTTTTTATTTTAATACTCTTGTTTGAGCAAACCTAAGCAATTTAAGATTAATTGTATATATGGAGCCGCGTGGTAGGAGTAAGATTTTTCTTTAGCTGAATAAAATTTAATTTGTTTTTTTCTTTATTAATCAAGATTTTTGACAAAAAATGTATTTATTTATTTATTTTGAATTTTTTTTTAAAAAAGTTTCTTATGGTGAACACTAATCAATAATATCTTCCTTATATAGGTATTTAAAGATGTATTAGATTTACGTTATAATATTTAGGTAATATTCACTTTTCATTATGTATTCTAACAACAAAGTACTAAAAAACAAAAGCATAAAAAAAGGTATATTTTCACATGGAATTGGCTAGCTTCGTTTTTTTTTTTTTTTTTCTGGGTCATAATGTACTGTAGCCTAGTCAAGCTTGTAGCAGCAAAATTGATCCCAAAAAATTAAATGAGGATCCCACATAAAGCAAACAGAAGATCCTGTTAGCCTACAAACACAACAAGGGGCAAACACAAAATTGTGCACAACTAAGCGAAAACTAGAAAGGGTCTTTGACCACTGAATATGGGACCCTCATGAAATCCCAATTGCTGTGATCCCTTCTTCAAGCTAATAGGTGGCTGCATTTTATTTGATATTTAAGAATCAAAACAAGCATTAATTCCTTTCTTGTCCATGTGATGAATATTCTCAACATTTTAACCTAGGCAGCCAGGGCCACTTGTTTTCTCAATCACTTTGGTTATGTCTCTTTCAATTCTACTTTGAGAATCAGCAAAATTGACAGTCAAATGTATGGGTAAAAATGGTTTCCGCTTTACAAATTAAACTTGAATATTCCTACTGCTTTGGCTCCAATATGGCAAAAGAATTCCCTTTATTTTTCCGTTAGTAACCCAAATCATCTCCGTTTGCTTTAAATTAGATGGTTAAAAAGTAAGAAAGAAATAATTTTAATTAATGTATTTTAAAAATATAAAAATGATAATTAATTTAAAATAAAATTTAGTAAAAAAAATATTGACATATATTGTAGGACGGAGAGAGTGAGGCTAAGTTGGAATGATTAGGGTTTCAGATCATCACACACACACACCTCTCTCTCTTTCTTGTTGGTGAACTCAAAGAGAAAAAGAGAGAAAGAGGCATCTAAATGGAATCATTTTTCTTTCTTTCATTTTTCATGATGATTATGTAGATATATTTAGAGAGAATTAAATGAGAAATAAATAGAAAAAAGAAAAGGCAAAAAAGAGAAAAGGGAAGAACAAGTGGTGAGTTTCAATAAAGAGAGAATTGAAGCTGATGATGGAATAACAATTAAGTCTTCGAGGTTTTGATTTTGACCATCTTTTCTTTTTCTCTTTTCTGCGGCTGCTTCTCTTTTGATTCTCAACTTTACTATTGTCTATCTCTTTAAAGTTTAAATCTCAGCAAAATTAAAGAAAAAAATAGGGAAAATAATAATAAGAAGAACTGTCGTCCATTCTCTTGGAGAATGGTAAAGGAAAGAAGAGGCAAACTGTAAAGAGAAGTGGGCTGATGCTGATTCGATTCTCCTCGTGAATCGCTCCACCCCCATGCCCATGCACATCCATCCATCACCACCACCATTTCTCTCCTTTTCATTTCTCCCATCTCACCCCATTACCATCACTCTGTTTTTTGTGCATTATGCATTATTACATGCCTCTTTGTTTTGGGTTTTCGCTTGGTATAAAGAGCAACAAAGAAAAGATATTCCTTTCCTCTAACTTCAAGACAAAGCCTGCTTTATAATAGTAATATCATATCAACAATATCTTAATTTATTAAAGTCATAATGTGTGATATCATGTCAACAGTATTTTACTTTAATAATATCACAATATATGTAATGATCACAAAAACATTTGTTATATACAATATTCTTAATAATAAAACTAATATATAACTTTATCCTACTTATTTATCAAATTTTTATTAAGTTGCATAACACTTCAACAATACCATTGTTAATTTGTGGCTAAATTTTCCCAACTTTACATGCGTCAACAAAACAAGAGGAAAAAGACAGATTTCCGTCCTTTCCCTTTCTTCTCTTTATACCAAACTAGAAGATATTTGATTTTCCAAAAAAAAACCTAGAAGATATTTGCTATGTTCTCCTTGAGCAACTCTTAGGTCATGTTTGGCAAGACGAAAATTATTCATTCCTAAAAAACTATAAAAATAAGAGAGAGAGAGAGAGAATATGAATAGAGTTGATTACTTTCGTAGAGTGTTACGAAACTTATTTCTAATAATATACGTTCCCTTACTATTACCTGTAATTTAAACGGAAATGAGCTAAGAAAAAAAGTAATAGATTTCCTTCCTCTCTTTCAATTTTTCCTTCCTCCTTCATTTCCCCTCCATTTTCTTCCCTCCTGCCAAATAGTGTGAAGTTGATTTTACCAACAGATGACATATCAATTTTTCTCTTTTTGTTCATTTTCAACGTCGTATATGCATACTTAATTGCGGGACGAAGTAATGCAAATATGTCAAACGGAGAGCCAACACTTTAAAAATAAAATAAAATGATGAACATGCCACTGAAAATGCAATACAACTTTGTGTACAAAAAGAGTTATAATTACATTTGGAGGAAGTAAACCAAAATGTGCATGCATGGAGCAGGATTCTATGAAACTCTCATCACTGTTCATCTAGTTCTTCCCAATGTATTTTCCTCCTTTAGTAGAGACCATCAAGACAATAATATTTATCAAGAAAACAAATAACCAATGGTAAACCTCAGAATTCTGGAAACTGGCACCAACAAGGAGACGACCAAGTTGTAGAAGTTCCTTTGGGGAAACTGTTAAGACCCACAGAACCTAGACAACAAGCCAAAAGAAAAGAGGAACTGATAATTAGTTGGTGTATTAGTATTCAAAATCTTGATCAATACGTATCATCAATTTGCAAAGAATAGTGTAACTGATTAATTCAAAATCTTGATAAAGAAACGGTTTTCAATCCTGAACCTAGACACAGGATGAATTGAACAAATTTCAGAATGCATCTCTCATTGTCTAACATTCTCAAGATGGCACTAATGTCATTGTAGTGACCAAGAAATAACACTAAATTATGAAACAAATGTAGCCAATAATAATAACAATTTATCAAAGACATGGAAGGGGCAATGGACAAGGAACACTGGGGAATTAGCTTACACCTGGATGTATTCACTTACGAAGTGCATGCAGAATGGGATTGATTCAAAATTTTTATTAAGAACTTTTTCTGCTATGGCTACCAGAACCAGCAACCGTCCTCATACTCATGGGCTCAGCTGAATTATGCAAGTCTCTCTGAGCAACCGAAGCACTTCCTCTTAGTCCATGAGATGAACCACGATGAGGACTCAGTACACTCCCTTTTAAGGCTTCAGTCTCCAAAATTTTTGCTTCATTGGCCAACATTGCTAACTATTGTAACAAAATCTAGTTAGCCTTGAGAATTTTTATATCAGAAAGATAATAACAATACAGGACAGAACAGAGAGGGATCTAATCAATTTTATCTGCTATATTGATTCACTTGTGAATCTTCATAGACAAATATATGGAACTAATCACATCATATGGTAGTTGTTATGTCAACATGCATGCATACATATGGAGTTGGATTTCCAAAATGACCACCAATTTGTGGATATACCGGAGAAGGTTAACAGATCAGGCCGTGACAAAATTGATAAAAAGAATTGACAACTTGAAGTATGGAGACTCAGATGCACAGACATAACAGTAAAGGGGTCAAGAAAATATCATTGCTTTCCAAAAGTAAATTCAAGTTAAGAAAGGTTGCTACAAGACTGTATTTTAACTTCAAACATACTCGGATTTCATTCTCTTTCAACCGATCCTGAAGTGCATTGATAGCAGGACTTAAACTGCATGATCAAGGAGAAAGAATGTGTAAATAATAACACAAAGACAGGCATATATAACTTAAAGTAGAGAGTATCCGTTTCTAACCAGTATTCAATTAGTTTGCACATAGAAGACTGATATGTTGAGGTATGATGAATGAAAGTAAGGGGATGCACTTTCCCATCCCTATGTCAAATAGCAATGAGTTAGAATACATTATAAAGTCAAGAATGAAATCACAAAAGAAACATATATGGTAAAGGCATATTATTATTATTATTATTATTATTATTATGGTTAGAAGTGAAGGCAAGTTATATGAATACCTCATATTTTGCAAGATGGCCTGGTTGTATGCTGCACGCTCTTCTTCAAACAGTACACGTTGTAAATCCGTAAATGATGTTAATGGTGATTCAAGCTTAACCAGAAATGATGTAGGTAAAACACAAAGTGGAATTTCCTTCCTTACAAACTCCGCACCACTGCCAGAGAAATAAAGCCAATTTGAGGACCTCAAGTTAAACTGCTGTTTTATACAAACTCCCGAGAGAATAAGACAAGGATGATGTGCGCAAGTGAAATATAAGTCAAATGCATAACATGAATATATATGTGTGAATGAAATGATCCAAATGCATGGATTCATTTAACGTATACTACCCAAAAAGATTAACATTTATGGTAGATTGGAATCGTCTATTAGTGCAACAAGTCAAAGAGGAATGAGATTAACACATTTGACAACTATGAATAAACATAAAAGGATGGGGAATAAACAGCAGAGGCAACCATTAATTAATGACACCTTATTGAGATGAAAAGCAACTTTGAGAAATATTGGTTGATTTGTCCTGATAAAATTCACAAAGCATAAAATGATGGCATGGAGAAAGAACTTTCAGATTCATGGCTAACAGGTAAACCACAACTATTAACACCAAAGCCAAACTCAAAAGGAAAGAGAGGGGAAAGCAAAAGGAGAATAAACCTGAGTTTCCCTTGGAAACTCCTCCCCTAAAAGGTAAATTCTTCTAATGACTCGTGCACGTTGAGAATTGAGATTTGGGCATAAGCTCTGCTTTGAAGTTAAGCAGCTTTCTAGAACAAAGTTGGAAAACTCAAGACACTCTCAAGAGAAAACTCACATAACTTAAGATCTTATAGGATGAAGATCCATGAGCAAAAATTTTTAAATTCAACATATAATTTTTTGCTGTTGTTGTTATTATTATTATTATTATTATTTGGTTTCCCCCCTTAATTACAAGAATCTAATTCACAGAAAATAATTGGGATACTAGACAGAACAAAAACACACAGACACCCAACAATCATCTATGAACTAGTAACTCCTAATGGAGCAAAGGTAAACATTCCTTGGACACGATTGGAGAACTTCATAGACAATCAATAACAACTTCAATACTAATGCCATCAATTCCAGAACATATTCGAGCCCTCTCCTTGTCAACACCATTTTCCTAAAACATGAATGTTGTAGAAATGAGATATTAGGGATACAGCATCACTGATGTCTCTATCAGTGACAAACAATGAAAACAAATTTTAATTCCAAGCATTAGACCTGGTGACTTGAAGAGAGGTATTTCCTCAACCAAAAGAAAAGTTAATATCATAACAATTTCATAGCAATTATTAATAGACATCACATCTAGGAAGCTTAATTCAAATATATTGCATGGCACTTCTACTCTTAGCCATACACAATCTGTTATTGTGCTTAATTGAGTGCTTATCATATAATATTTTTCCCACAGTGACAACTTTTGCATTCCCAGTTGTTCTTTCTTTTTGTTATCTCAACCAAAAAGAAACCAAAGATTTGCTACTAGGAACTATTTCTCAAGGTTTAACTGCTTAAAGAATCACCATGATGCAAGCTTTGCAAGTTCTGGTCTGAATCTGATGGATGTCAGACCAATAAACTTCCCAGATAAAGAAGTTTCCAAGAATTCACAAACAATTGACCATATTTGCCTTAGAAATTCAACTTTCTTAATTGTGTGGCCAGACTAATCCTTTAGTAAATGGTGAAAGAATAGTTCCTATGTGCTGAACACACAGTTCAGTGGCATGGAATGGATTAATCCAAACATTTCCCTATTAGTTTAAATTGGAGGAATTTTTCATCTTGAACAATGAAAGAGAAGTAATTGTAAAATTGTTGTCTCATCAACCTTTAGTTTGTCTACTCTGCATCACAATCAACTTGAACATGGATAAACCAATTTATCTCCAAGAAGAAAACCAAACCACATTGATAAACCATCTACCATGAAATTCATGTTAAAACCTCAATAAGAATTTCTGAAAATTAATCTTTTTAAAAGTCAAAGTAAGCATACAAGAGCCACAGGCACATAACAAAGAGATGTTGTAGGCATGTAACAAGAGATATAAAGCATCAAGTGATCACATACTAAGATATACCTCACGTCCAAGTTTGAGCGGTGCATTGCTTCTTGCATGCTTTCTGACATATCCATGGGGTCAATATCATCTATGGCATTCTCTAAATTATTGGAATTATAGTTTCCTCCACCTTGCTCTCTCCCTAGATAGTTGGCATCAGCATTAGCAATGAAACTGCCCAAGTCTGAAGATCGGCCCCCACCCTAGCCAATCATATGCAAAAGCATTGTAAAAAAATGGGCAAGAAGCAAAGTGGACCCAACCTATGGTGTTCTACAGAATAATTACAAAGGAAAGGCAACAGTTACAGATGAACATGCTCATGGGTGGTCACTGCACTTCTAAAACACATGCTTCTCTTTGAGGTACCCACCAAGTTTAACTTGAACCACATTATTACCAAATGAACAAGCAAGTTTACCATTATCTGAACATAGCAAGAAGATGTATCCAGAAGGAGCAAAATCTTTGGTAATGTCTAGGATCTACTGGATGACATTGTGAAAATCATTACCCCATAAGAAATCTAGGGAAGAAGAAACATTATATCCTAACCTTACGATCCATGTGTAGTTTACAGACAAACCAAAGATATGATGTTGAGAGGCTTTGTCCAAAATATGAAACAACCATCTATTGAAAAAAATAACTAGTTGCTAATGGAAATAACTATAATTTTAGATAATCCTATAGGTTGGCACAATTACTGTGGTAAAAATCTTGGAGCATAACCATTTCTAAATTTAGATAAGCATCTATCTGTGAGACTAAAGTTTTTATTTTGTACCATTGAATGGTACACCTATTTATAAATTTGCAGTAGTACTCCCATTAATTCAGATTATTTGATGGGGGAAAGCAGTTATATATTGGCTTCTAAACACAGAAGGCAATTTAAATTCTTTGTAATGGCAACATGTTATCCAACCTTTGCAACCAGTTGTTTAACTCAGTGAACTTTATATTTCATCAGGAATTCATTCCTTCTTTAAGGCCATTAGTCAATCTTTTAGCGAAACCAAAAGTCTTTGTAGTTAATTTGCTCCTTGGGAAGGAATAAGAAGGGAATGGAAAAAGGGAGGAATATTAGTTGGTTGGATTTGACAAGTTAACAACACAAGATAACTGGATAAAGAACAATCAAGGAATAGGAATAAAATGAAAAAATGGTTTTTATTCTCCTTTTCCCTAACTCTTTTTCCCTGGCTTCACCCCTTTCTCCATCTTGTTCTCTCCTTGCTGCTCATCTACTTGGGCATATCTTGTCAGCATTAGCAGCATGCCATACTATTGCCATCAAGAATTGGGTTGCACCTTGCCATGAGGTATTACCCACTTTAGCCATTAGACTACATGTTTTGTCCTCAAAACATCCCTCATGGGAGAAGGGATAAACCCCTACTTATAAGTCACAACTATCCTTGACTACCATTCAATGTGAGTCTCTATTATTAGCCCCAAGTCAAGTATAGTAGTGACTTGTAAGTAGGGGCCTACCCTTTTTCATGAGGGCCTTTCGGAGGATAAAACAATGTAACCTAAGGCTAAAGCAAACAATACCTCATGGTGAAATGCAACCCATTTCTTGACATTAACACACACCTTACATAACATCCCTCCTTTTCTCTGCATTCATTTTCTTACCTCTCATCCTTCTACAGCATACCAACATTTTCTGATTTGCTGTAGTGGTTCACACTGGCACTAGATCCGGTCACAATGATTAGATAACCCACACATTTCCTCTTTCATTCCTTTCTTCTCCCCCTTCTTCTATGGTCAGATCAGCCAAAGCCAATAACTGGATTTGTTGGCAAAGGTAATGCAAGCTTTGAGCTAGTCATACCATCTCTCTACCAACTTAACCTCCATCTCCCCAATTCTCTCCCTTACCCATTCTTTTGCATTTCTGTTCTTTTTTCTCTCTTCATAAGCAAGAGGTTAAAGCAGCAGGTTGGTTTTTCAAGAAAATAATGAGGACAAAAGTGCAAGAAAAAGTTGTGAGTTTCCTCACATGCCAACATATTTATTGTGAGGTTGCAAGCATGTATAAACCATGTTGTTGTTGTCGTCGTTGTTGCTGTTGTTGTTGCTGTTGTAAGGAAGTATAACATATACCCACAAGACAAAAATATGCCATGGCCCTATAGGTGTCAGACCATCAAAGAAAGCTCCAACAAGAAACCTTCAATGGTTAAGTCAAAGGTTGAATGAAGAAAATTATTCTTCCATTGTAACGGAATGAGATGATCCTAGAACACCATCTCTATTTTCCTTCATTCCTTTGGCTCTTGTGGAGATTGTTGTAACTTCCCCTTCAACCTTGAACTTGAAAAATGGGTTGAAGATGGCATGCCAATTATTCCCATTAGCACTCTTCTATGACAAAGTGAGACTTCCTTATTATTTTCAAGCATAAAAAAGTGTAGTCTGAACCTAAAACAGCATATGGCTCCCCTTGAAGCAAACATTAAAGAGGCATCTATCTCAAAAACCTCTACCAAGACCAAAGGAATAAAGGATGAGAAAGTTATCATTCTCAAGATTATTTCCTTTAGTCTCTAACTTAACATTGGAGATTCCTAGCCGAGCTTACTCTAACACCCTTAATATTTTCCAATCTTGCAAGTCCACCTGTAACAGTTTCCAATCCTGCAAGTCCACATGAATATTCCTTCGCTATTTTCAACTACTAAAATAAAGATTAAAGCAGATATCTCATCCCTAATCAACGAAGCAAAACCTAGTTCATAAATAAATGTAGGCATATCTTGTGAGTTTTATTCATAAATCAACTCATATACTAGGGTCAAGGTATGCTAACTGCTTATTGGTTATTGGCTATTAGCCTATCACACAGCCAATAATTGATTATTACCACCACCATTAATTTCATTTCAGTAATTTTGTTACTTCCCATCTAATGAAATGATAAAGATTTCAACTGCAAATTTTTAATTAGTTAGAGGACTCATCACTCATTTAAACCAAATTAAAGCTTTAGGACTTAAATGGTTTAAAGTTATTCCTTTTTAGGACTAAACACAAGAAAAGGTAGCCTTGCCAACGACATGGCTTGCAGAATCCAGGCACTTAACTGTTGTCTTTAACATTAAGCTAGTTTGGAAACCATAATGGTCATGTAAAGGGGCATTAGACAATCCAACTTTGAGAACCAAAATTTTACCTTACTATAAGTTAAGGTTGATCGAGAATCACCAGTGTCTTCTTCAGGACCATCTGCTTTTGTAGATCCAGACCTCACCAAGGAATTCTCTGAGGAACTTAAAGAAGATTCAATATCAACAACTGAACTTCTATATACAGGAGACTGCAGAACAGACCCTGACATGTTATTTTGCTTCCCATCTGAAGACTGGAAGGCAATAACTTGAATTCTTCCAACCTGAAATTACCAGTTCTATATTTTGAGTCTAGTTAGGCCAACAAAACATTAAAGTTGCAGATCACAGTCCCATTTAATAGCAAGTCAAACACAGGACCTTGTTTGTATCTTCACTGAAACAAGAAAATATCAGACCAATGAATCCAGAATCAAGAAGTTGATACATCGACTGAGTCCGTACATCTGCAGAAGGTGAAGGTTGGATATCAAATTCAATGTTCAGCAACAAACCATAAAATAAAAATAAATAAACAAATAAATAAATGGGCATTATTCAACCTAGAAAAAGTTCAAAGACTGGCTTTCAAGCATTTAGAAGAATGTGAAAAACATTCCAATGAGTGATAATATAAATAAGCTTGAAAGTAAAACTGATAATAAAATAAGAAAGGTAAAGCAAACTAATGAAAGTTTTAAATTGAATAGAGAATTATAGGAATTAGACAAGCATAGTGGATTAGTCACTCCTTTAGAAAATCACTGAATTTTTTGAAGAAAATGGACAACATTTCTAAGGAAGGCCCATAAGAATAACCTCAATTTCATTGTCTAAAATACCTTGATGGCATAAGAAAAGTGATTTTCCAACCATTGACAACAAATCCACGGAATAGTACAAAGTTTAATGTCACTCTCCCTATCTTATCTTGATATACTTAATGAAACATTTTGATGTGTTTCTCTCAAGAAAAGCTAGAGTACAAATTAATATCATATGCAGTAGAAAGGAGCTAGACCTAGTCACACTGTTCTTACCAACATGAGATGGAAGAACTGTAATATGAGGATGTGAATGGTACCATCCAATCACTCTTGTTGTTCTTCCAGTTGAGGCAGTCATTCTGTGTATTGAAGTTAATTTCACAAAAACAGTATTTTGAACTTGAAAATATGAAACAAAACATGCAAGAGACACTCATAATTAGAGCTACATTGACCTTGCATCATTATCATAAAGAGTCTATTGTAACATGAGTTTTTTAGTTCACCATTGCAATTGTGTCTTCTGAAAGAATGTAAGAGCAAAAAACTATTCTGTAAAAAAAAAAAAAAAAAGAAAGAAAAAATGATGACCAGCACATTTGGAATAACTAAAACTAAATATCACCAAGCACCCTACTAACATGACATAATTTGCACATAACAGTCTAACTACCTCCCTCTTAACACGCAAATAAAATGCCAAAAGCAAGAAATGGCATTGGTTTCTCATACTGGGGCAAATATAAAAGTTACAGTAAGTAATTGCATTGTTTTAAATAAAAAATAGAACACTCCACAAAGATTAAGTCAAGGATATTTCAGCTTGAGCTGATGCAGCAGCCAACTGTTCTGGATTCGTCTCTACTCGGTCCTTCCTCCGATCAGATCGTGATTGTGGAGAAGCCCCCCATATCAGTGCAGTGATATGTCCATCTTTTGAGTGCTGAAAATTCACAACATGAAAGCAAAACAATCATAAACAAAAAGAATAATCTTACAAATAAAATACAAATCACAGATTTATGACAATACTCCTACAACATTCTTATTTCTTGCAAATTCCAAGGTAAACGAGACTAGATTTGTTATAATTTATTCAATATAGACAAAGGTATATTCACTGCCAAAACTACCACCATAGAATTTATGTGCCAGGCATTCGTGAAAGCTCAAGCTTTTAAATAAACTCAAAATCATATATATAAATGAAGTTAACTACCTTGGCTCATCAAGAGCATCCAAACTGAACCAAAATTAGTCCAACGGAGTTCCATAAATAAACCAAAATCATAAGATGTAAACAACTTCTGAACTTCATCTTCAATCTTTGCTTTTAAGGTATCCAAACGACAAAACTAAATTGCTAGTAGAGGAAAAACAAGTTGACTTTTTCCTCTGAAAGATAAAAGGCTAAGAATATAATGAAATACCCAACAATCCTCAATAAACAAGCCCAAAATTTTGGGAAAAAAAAAAATAAAGCAATTTCCAAAAATCCCAGAGTCAGCATGAAGAATAAACCCCTCATAAAAAGGCAAGGCCATAAATCCCAAATCCCATTGCAGAAATTTCCCCAAAAAGCCCAAGAGTTTAAGTTCTACACTCAATGAAAGAAAATCAAATAAAATGCAACCTAAAATTTATAAACCCTATTACAAAATAGTTTAAAAAAAAAAAACTCAAATAGCATAGAATAAATGAACTCTCAGCCAGAATTACAAAACCGCAATTCAAATCACCAACAAAATCCCAAACAATCTCAACACTATTCCCAGTTACCTCAGGAGCAAAATCAAGCAGACACAAGTCACATACACAGATAAAATAACAAAACCCACGAAGCTAAAATGGGGAGCAGGAATCATATCGAAAATTTTACCTCAATATCACCGAGAAGAAGACCCATAATTTCCTCAGTCTCGGTCGACAATGCATGCGTGAGGCAAGTTAACCACACATCCTCCGACATTTTCACGCACGTTAGAGACATTCTCTTTCACTTCTAGTATACTATGTCTGCCTCACACGGAACTTTCCGTCTCAGATAACCTCTGGTTACGTCGCTACAAAGATCTGTGAGATCTTCCGGGGTTTTGAGTTTGCCCTCCCTCCTAAGTTTTTCTCGTCTTATGAACTTCAGAGGAATGGAAGCTTCGAGAGGGAGCGATTAATCTTAGGGGACGGTAGCAAGACGGATTCGATACGACTGGGTGTAACCTGTTTGTTTCCACTTTGTGGATTAATTTCTCACTAATGGTTCTTTATTTTTTACAAGGTATTTCAATTGGTTCCTTATCTTTATTTTGTCTCATTTTATTCTTGATATCTCTAAAGTTTTTCCCTCAATCTTCCATTTTTCATTTTCGGCTACCATAGAGTATAGTATAACTAACAAACCCATGTGAGTCGTGACCATGCATTTGAGCTTGATAGACCTTTTTTTTTTTCGTGGTATTGTTGATAGGCTATATTTTCAAACTCCATGTATCCATGACTTATAAAGTAATTTGTTGTAATATTGTGTAATTTGGTAAGAGAACTTTAGTTAGAGAATATTTATTATTTTTTTTAATAATATGTGAAATTTAGAGTATATTTGAGTTGAGGGGAAATGAAGGAAGGGAAGAGAAAAAAAAATCTCTAATTGGTTATAAAAAAGTTAGAGGGGAAAAAAGGAAAAGTTTTCCTTTTCTTTTCTTTTCTTTTTTTAAATTAGTTACTTTCTAAATAAAGTGAATGAAAAGAAATGAAATGATATAATTTTTCTTCCCTTCCTCTCCCTCTTCTCCATTCCTCTCAACTCAAACATAAGGTTAGTTTATAGTAAACAACAAATAAGCTATTACAAAGAATACAATCTTTTAAGACTTTATTTGATAATGCTTCTTAATTTTTTAACTTTTAGTTTTTTTTATCCTTATACTATTTAAAAAAACATATAAAATATTAATCAAAATAAATATTAAATATATTAAACATATTAAATATATTTTTAAAATATTAAAAATCTAAAAGACCAACAGCTACAACTACAATTCAACACTCTCAAACTAAACCTAAAACTAGCAAGGAGTCAAAGAATATACAAATCTATTCCTTTACAAATCACAACATCTTTAAGTCCCCATTGCATAGCAATACCCATCGGCAAGGGAGAAGACTTTGGTCGAGTGAATCCCAAAATCTTGCCCCTTATATCAAGTCAATCATCATAGACAATACGAAGACCAAAGTTATAAACACTATCATAATTCTAGCATTATCATAAGCATTCAAACTCGTTCATTTTATATTTTTTATTACGTAGTCCAAACTCCAAATTACAATGCAAAGACAAGACAAAACTAACACATTCACTAACCAACTTACCACATTATCCACAGATTCGACAATATTCATCCCTTCTATCCATCATCAAATCATTAACCACACACATCCTTCATGTCTAACCCTATTTACCACACCTTACGCACAAACCTACCATTCACCTGTTGATCAGCAAAGCAAGGACCAACAAATCGTAGGGTTTCCATCCACTATGGGTCAAGAACCCAGGAAAGGCCTAATGGGCCAGCACACCCTCTTTTGGAGCCCAATTCAAAGTACCTCCTTTCTCTAGTCCCCTCCACATTCTCAATTGAAATGTCTTCTTCTTGACCAACTTTTCCAGTAACGGAATCCGGCCAGGTTCCAATTCTCAAATGGAACCTCCTTTTGCTATTAACAAGCCCATACAAAATTTCCAAGCATTGTCGGGGTGCTATTTGGTGAAATGGTTGATATTGTGCTTGGAGTCTAGGAAGGTGATATGGAATGCTTCTGGGGCAAATAGCTCAGCAAGTTTGAGAATGGAGTTTACATGGCTTTGTGATAGGAGGGGGAAGATGAGAACGTGAGGAGAAGGATGTGGTTGCTTCCATAATTCTTCCATCAGGTTCAATACAAAGAAGAGCGTTGCATTTGCATCCACATTATTGTCCTATATATATATTTATGAATCTTCTCTATGCTTTTTTGGGTTTAACAAGATTGTTAGGTTGTTGATTTATAGGTTCTTCTTTGTTGATCCTGAAATTGGAGTTCACAATCTTTGTGTTTAGTTTCTTTTATGGAGAAAAATTACGGAAGAAAGTGCATTTAACTATGATGAAAAATGAATCATGATGTGGCTGGTGACCTTCTTCCTTATCTTTCTGTTGAATATATAAAAACAAAAGGCTTCATTCCAATTTTAACAAAAAAAGAAGCTTGCTTAAAGGAAATTAAATCTTTATTCATAGAAGAATATGAATAGAGGACAACCAAAACAGAACACAGAGATTCTGAATCTTAATGACTCAAAAAGACCAAAAAACAAAGGCAAAACATAACAGTCTCCATAATAGAGAGGTATAGCAAAAGGAGCCTAGCTAGGATGCATGGAACACCACTAAGGTAGGCTCATCAATCATCATAAATCAAAGTAGAGAACTTTCACTGGAATTTTTCAGGACCTAGCCTGTGATGGGTTGCTGCGGTGGCTGCCAGCGGAGGCAGTTTGGTTGGGTGATAAAAGGTTGCCGCCAGAAGCAACTGAGACATCACGGGGGTTGTTGCCGCCAGAACCAAAGGAGGCACCGCCAGGGTGGTTGCCGGCTGAAGCAGTTGGACCGGCACCTCCGGGGTTGTTTCCGGTTGATGCAGTTGGGCCAGAGCCTTGTTTGTTGCCTGATGAACCTGCTGATGGGTTGGGAGAAGCAGAATTATCGGCGGTCATCCCCAGACTGCTCTTTACTGCCTCAGCTGCCCCGTGTGCCATGTTCTTCACCTGCTCCCCTGTCTGCAACACCAAAAAAGAAAAAAAGAAACAGAACGAATGCAAACCCTTGATGGAATAAAAATCCATTCAAATGATAATCAAACAGAGAGAGGTTAATTTAAGTTAATTAATTAGCTAAAAAAAACCTGCTGAAGAAAGTTGGTAGCCTGAGAAGTAATAGAAGCGTTTTGCCTGTTCATCTGTAAAATGAATTGAAAACAGGGAATAGAATATGTCAACAAAACACCTAATCAGGCAATCGGAACAAACGTTAATTAATTTTCTTAATCATGATTATAAATAGTTGTAAGAAGCAGGTGTTTGTGGCCAAATCTGGTAAAGCCTGTAAGTTCCGACCATTGTTGTTGTACTTATCCCTGGCCCTTCTCCCAAACTCTCCCCATGTTCAAACATTGATTAATAGCTGTAGTTCTAGGTTGAGGGCATTATTAACCTGAGTGTGGCCGCCGGAGGACATTTCGTCATCGGCCTTGTATCCAGCTTCCTGACGTTGTTGTTGGCTTGCCATTTTTCTTGATTTCTTGTTTGTGGTTTTGATTGATTAATGAATAAATTGAAGGTGAGTTAGTGAAATATTAATTTGGATTTATAGTTAGGGGGAGTTGTAACTGGAAACCCTTTAGTCGTGCCTTTTTGGACACATGGTGTATGTGTGGCGTGGCTTGCTCCGGTTGACATGGGATCCGCGAGAATGCTTCAAAAGAAATGGAAGCCAACGTTTCGCTGTGGATTGAATTCTTTCATGGGGTTAGTGCATAGGAAAATAATTTAGGATGACTTTTATATACATAATTTTTTATTTAACCCTATATTTCAATAATTAATTATTTTTACTTTGTTATTATGTGTAATATTATATATATTTATGGAATACAATATTTTATAAGTCGTTTTTTAAATTTTTTTTGGAAGGTATGTTTAAAAGTTTTTTTTTATTTAATATTTTTAAAAATCAATTATTAGTCTAAAAGTTTTATTTATAAGGATCAAATATATTAATTTTTAAATTGTTTTAATACGTTTAATCATTTTGTTAATTATAAGAAATTTAATATTATTAAATATTTATTAATAAATAAAATTTATTTGATTAAATAATTATACAATTTAGATTAATATAAAAATTAATATATATAACTAATATGAATAGAATTTTTAATCTAATAGTCGATTTTTTAAAAATAATAATTAAAATATAAATTTTTTAGACAAATTTTTCAAAAAAAAAAAACGTACCTTACCTTATCATCTATATTTATTTATCAATATATAAAATTATAAATAAATTTATCTATATACGATTGCCCATTACAAAAGTCCACCAAAAAACAAGGAGTTAAAGGAATTCAATCTCAGAGGGGGTTGGCTCCTGCTTGTTGACCTCTAAACAATCAATCTTATAGAAAAAAAAAATGGCTTGAGATATATTTTACAAGAAAGTATAAAATCTACAAAAAAAAAAAAAAAAAAAAAAAAAAAATGACTCACACTATACACGTGTTAGCATTTCGTTTCATAGCCGTATGGGACGTGTAAGCTCCTTGCGCTGACCACGTTGAATTTAAGAAATCACTAGCTGACGTGTCACCACAGCATAGGTTGAGTCATCAAACAAAATAATCCTCCTCCAATTCCCCAAATTCGACGCAGGCTAGTCTTTAGCCATTTTGCATGGCTCCTTCGTAACACGTGTTATGGACTTCCACACGTCCTCAAGTTAGCGCACCACAGTCCCCTATAAATGGAGCACGCAGGAAAACCTCCCCACCCAGGCAAAAGCAAGAATCCCTGACACATTTCAAAGATCAGTCAATCTTCCAATATTCCAAGTTCAGTTTTAAGCAAAAATGGCATCTCAAGACCAGGGCTTCAGAGCCGGTGAAGCCAAAGGCCGTACTGAGGTAATTAAGAAGTGTTATGTACGCTTCTATACTATATATTAATGTATTAATTAGTAATACTGTTTTCTTTATGATGATTAATTTTGTTAATGATATTTTAGGAGAAGACGAATCAGACGATGGACAGTATGAGGGAGAAGGCAGAGGCGGCCAAGAACAAGACATATGAATCAGCTGAAGCTGCCAAGAACAAGACCACAGAGACAGTTGAGGCAGCCAAGGACAAGAGTTACGAGACGGCTGAAGCCGCCAAGGAGAAGGCCCATGAGGGGAAGGAGAAAACGGGCGGGGTTCTTCAAAAGACAGGGGAGCAAATGAGGAACATGGCGCACGGTGCTGCTGATGCCGTGAAGCACACGTTTGGAATGGCAAATGAAGACAAGGATAAGCATAACACCACTTCGTGTAGGAGGGACTCTAATTAGTAGGATATATATATATATATATATATATATATGTATGTATGTATGTATGTATGTATGTTCCTTACCTGCAAACTTTGTGTTTCTGTGTTTTGTTTGTGTTGTATCAATGTTTTGATGCTGTCTCTCTAGGGGACTCTGTTTGTTCGGTCTTGTAAGAGAAACATGTTGTACTCGATCGCAATAAATGTTCCTTGATATTCTGTTATCTTTATGGTAATCACAAATCAATGATGTAGTGCAACCATTTGTGCTTTCTTAATTTCATTGTATTTTCTTTACCAACAAGAACTTGTTACAGTTTTTTTTCCTTTTTCCTTTTTCTTTTTTAATGTAGAGCATAATTGCATATGACGTACAAGTAAAAAAAAAAAAAAAAGTCTGGAAAAATCCTCTCATTCACAATAATCAAACTCCCAACCTCAACCTTGTTAGAAGCTATGAGGTAGCACATTTTAGCTCTATTCAAGAACATATAGATTTGGACAAATGTGGCTTTTCATACGAAGTTTCTCCTTTTACATTTCCCGCACAAAATTGATAAAAAAAAAAAAAAAACATTGAACGACAAAAGATCTGAGATGTTATGAAACTGTTTCGTAAAGTACAAGCTAAAGACTCCCCAAGTCCTAAACTACAACAATAGCAGCAGCTGCGTATTTGGTTCAAGACAGTGAAGACACCCTACATGTATTTGTACTTCTTGGTGCACAAAGGAGTTGATCACCAAATTAGAACTTGCAGATTCTTTTTAATCTTCTAGGCGTTGCTTCCTATCTCTCCTTAAACACAGAAGATCATACTTGGTTTTGGTTATAGGAATCCATGCAAACTGGTTACGATTATCTATATCAATCACTCATGTCCTCAATTCCTTCAAAATCACTAATCCCATCTAGAGCTTCATCAAGTGCTTCCTCCTCCTCTTCACCATCTCGATCAGTTTCCATGGCATCTTCGGATAATTCCTCTTCATCACTTTCGTCCTTGTCCTCAAATATTACAGGAACGGTGGCATTCTCTTCTTCCTCATCCTCAACAATCTATCAATTTTTTTTTTTTAAAGGGAAAGAAAGAAAACAAAGTATCACATTAATAATTTCTTGCCTTACAACCCCTAGTGCTACAAATTACATTATACATACCCCGGCAAAGAGGAAGTCTAAGCAACTTGATACTTGAAGAGCTGACTCAAAAGTTGAAACCCGAGATTCAATGAGCTGCATAAACAAATAGAGGCTATATTTTATTGGTTAAAGTAAAAATACCTCTGAGATCGTGAACGTCTCGAGGTGCCAAACAACATACTGGAGTCACTGGTTCTTACCTGATACAGAGAGTTCAGCGAATGCAAAGAGGACTCCTGTGACATAATCCCACTAGCATGTTGAAGAAGTAAATTTTTAATCCATGGAAGAGCACACGCCAAAACTGCACCCCTGCAATGATAAGTTAACACTTTATAGTTGAACAAGACTGCATATCCAACATCATCGTTAATGGGGGGAAGCATCAGTGGTCCAACATTTAATGATCCATCCTAATTCACTCTCATAAAAACAGTTGACGACAAAAAAGGAAAGAAAAGTGAAGGAAAACAAGGCAAGTAACTTTAGTTTTCAAATGTAAGTCACCAGAGAAACATAACCAGTTTAAACAGCTAACACTTTTACCTTGACTGGATTATAGAAACAAGAGAGTGTAAAAGCTTGAGAACATCAGATGGATTTAATAGTGAGATCGAATTTTTAATAACCTGAAAAGAAATGTGTAATCATGTCAGTTAATTATAACTCATAAATCTTAACCCATGCAAGGGATAGTAGGAACTAGGAAACAACCTTCTCATCTTGTGTGTACAAGCATTCTAAGAGAAGTGCACGATCATCAGCATGTAGTGCTTGCTTGAGCAGGACATTGACTGAGTCTGCACTTGGGGGCTTTGTAACAGGAGTGGATTCTTGTCTTTCTTCTTTTCCATGGCTTCCGGTTTTATCCTCATCTATTAAATTTAAACTTGCAAGTTTCTCACCCATGGTTGGTTCATTCGGATCATCATCAACAAGGACTCCATCCATATTCTCTCCATGGCCTATTTCAAAACCACCATCAAATAGATCTTGGGAAGAAGAAGCAAGCAAAAGAAAGGGGAATACAGGATGAATCTCTACCATTGGAAGTAGGCATGGGGCACAAGGCAGTAGGGAAGGATAATCTCATTGGTCTCCTCCTCCCTCAATCAAATAAAAAAAAAAAAAAAGGGAAAGAAAGAAAGAAAAAGGAAAACAAGGGTGACACACGCAAATGAGAACAACCATATCACATCCCCACCCAATGCCACCTTTTAATGTAAATTACATATCATAATTCCTTAAGTTGATCTTGATGAAAACAAAATGTAATGTGAAAATAAAAGACCAAGTGACAGAGATCCTGGAAATTTCTAATGGGTAGAGAGTTAGCCAGTGAGACAATCAAATGAGCCAATCATGGAAACCATCTGAGACAATCAGCCATGTGCCTTCTAGGTTCAAGATAGCAGATGGCATGTTTCCCATTCATACACCATAAATGACACAACATTGTTACTTCCAGAAATATATTTTTGCAATTAGACATCTCATCCCAGATCCTCCAGTTAAATAAACCATAATACAAAACTTACCCATCTCTTCCACACCTCTTGTAGTTTCAAGGTCTGGATCGGGAGCACCTCTTTTCTTATTTGCTTTTCTATTTGGATCAACCATCAATCCAGATTCTGAACTGTGGAGACCTGCAAAAAAGTTTTCTATGATTATATTAAAGAAACGTTAGGGCAATAATTCCTTACAATCCCCCATCCCCACCAACCAAAAGAAAAAGGAAAAAAAAAGGGGAAAAAACAAATGAACCAAGTCGTCCACTCTGTTGAATCAAAAGGCCATTACTCAGTTGAGGTGACATTGTTTATTTTAAATTTTAATTCTTATGGACTAAGTATGTGGTAAAATTAAGGACGAGAACACCAAGGTTAAAGTTAAGCCTGATGAATTAAATATGACAGGTTTACAGAACAAGATTTACCTCCTAATTTTTCCTTGAAATCATAAAAAGAAAAGGAGAAAACAAAATAGAATCTTCTACCTCTCCCAGTAGCTTCCTTGTTCTCTTGAATGGTTTCAGTTTCCTCCTCATCACCAGCAATTATAACCACATCCTCCCCCATTTTGCTGACATTAACAACACTAAACTGTGGTGAATCTAGTAGACCATAAGCAATACAGGCACTCACCCCCTTGCCCGTGCTGTTAGTGAGTAATCTAGCAGAAATAATAGAAGCACGGCTTTTCTTTGAGTTTGCACTCTTTTCCTGCTCTCTTCCAGCTTTATTGGCTTTCACAGTAATCTTAGTTGGTCTAGCCTCATCCTCTGAACTGGTCTCTAAATTCCACACATAAGCTACACCAGACTCTGAAATAGCTAAGATGACAAAACCACCAACATCATTGCTGTTATTCTGGCATGCTAAAGCTAATGGAGGCTGTTTCATGTAAAGAACTGGACCACTGACAACAGTTTTGGAACTCAAATCACAATACCACAGTTTAAGATGTTTCTCCCCTAACCCTGCTGTAACAATTGCCCTGGCATCATCAGATATGGACATATATTGCACATGGTCCTGTAATAAAAAGAATGAAACACTGTTAATGCCTTGAGTGTTTCAGAAGAAACATCTTCAATCAAGACAATGAGAGAGTAACTCACCAAATCATCAGCGAACTTCAGAAGTTCTTTACCATTTTCCAGGCTTATGATCCGCATCTTTCCACTGGCTAAAGCCAAAAATTTCTTGTCTGAAAATTTTTCAGAAAGATAGTTAAACAAACAAGGAAAATTATGTAACAGCAAACAAAACATGAGACAAACTTACCACATGAAAAAGAAAACAGAGAGATGGGCTTTTTTGAAGCTTTAAACTCCTTCAGTATTTCTCCAGTTTCAAAATTCATTTCAAATGCTTTTCCATTACATCCAACTATTTGCAGGCTATGATCTTTGTCTGTGAAAGAAAGACCAGCAATTGCACTGAATAAATGGAAAGAAAAGGAATGGTTATAAAACTATCCAGTACAATAGCACCACCAAAATGTAATCAGGCACAATGGAGATTTTACTCTGAACAAGATATCAAAAGGTGGCTTATGTTGTCTAAATTAAAGTAATTTCACATGCTGAAGTTCAGGTCAAAGATTATGTGGACAGATAAATAATAAAAAAGAGGAAAAAGTTTTCACAACAAACACAAATATTCCTGCATGTGGAGAAGAATGCATCACATTCCAAAAAGGATTTTAAGCAGTTTAGCGAAGAAATTTCCTAGAGAAGTAATCATTACCTGGGACAAAACCCAGTAAATTTCCATTTTGTCCGACCAATTAAGACATCAATAGCAAAGATGTCCCCATCACTTGTACCCAAAACTACTAAGCAACTATCAAGATCCTTATGCTGAAAAATCAAAACATTAATAATACAAGACTAAGTACCAAACAATATGAGTTTTAAGAAATAAAAAGATAAACTTTCAAAAGAGTGAGGCTACCTTCTTTCCAATAAAACAGCACGCTATACATGTATAGCTGACTACAGGGTCACTATGTGACTGTTTCCACTCTGCCAATAAACTTCTATTACTTGTGTTCCAGATCTGCAAAAGTGCAGTATAAATTTGTCAGCAGACCCTAACAGGAGGAGAATAATTCTTAAATGGCTTTTAAAATGTGATAAAATTTTATCAAGGGAAGAGAGACTGAAATCCAAGGGTGGCATGAGATAAAATGGATCATGTAACTTTAAGAAACCATAATACTAAATCAATGAACTTCACTTAAAAAAACTTCTATCAACTTATTAAAATGATAAAATATGAATGTTAAACCAAAATTAGTGTCTCCTACTCTGGCCCATGAGACAAATGATATTAACATAATGAGTACCATATTGTTTATCAGCACATGTAGTCATTCAATTAGTTAGGTCTTTATGATGAAGCTCAAGTTTTATTACTTTCTAAAAGTTTTCCAGTCTAGCAAACATTTGGAGAACATAGTGAACTCTAAGTTTGGCTGACATTTTTGTGTAAATTCTGACCTTTTGCCAATAAAGTCCCCATTCGAACCTGGTTTGTATTCCACAACGACAAACCCAAAAAAACCATTATATCTATCTTTCACGCACCAGCCCAACCACTAAGACATGTTACTCAAATTACAAGTGCCTTGATTTCATCCAAAAATCACCACATGGAACCAAAACATCAATAAAAACAAAGCCCACATCTGCTCTATAAGTTACTGCAATTTTCAAATCTAACTTGACGAGGCAGTGCTCATAAATCAAAAAGGAAAAATGGGATTCAATCCATTGAGCATATTACCAAACTATAACTTTCCAAGAATAAAGGCATTTTAATGCCCGTGTAATACTCAATCCTAGAACTACCTTATCCAGGATTGTGAAAAATCTGTAAAGAAACACGTTACGCTTGGAAAGGAAAAAAATTCTTGAACAGCATGAACTACTCATTCCCAAAGTAATGATAATAAGAATAACAATCATACTTAAATACCATAACCCAATGAATATACACATAATTTGAAAAAAATCTAATTATCTTAAAGAAAGAAAGACAGAAAGAAAGATATACTTTGACGGTTCCATCTGGAGACAGAATGGCGAGGTAGTCACCGTCAGGAGTGAAAGATGTAATAAGGGATCTGAGTTTCTGCTTAGCCATCGCAAGCGCTTTTCACAGAGAGATCGTCTGCGAGATGGCGACGCGAGGGAGGACAGTTGCGAAGAAACAGAAAAAGGGAGACGGAGGAAGAAGGTTTTGGGTTTTGGGTTTAGGACAGGTTCCAGAATTCAGTAACGGATGGACCGACGGTCAGACCGATTCTCCTCA